GTATACATAGATACCACCACTAAGAGTTATTTGCGAGCACAAGATGTTCAGAAGCGCACACGTGAATGTTCTTGTATATGTATCGAAGAGATGAAAGTGGTCGGTTTGAGTGGATCGACGAGTCACCTACTTTTACATCCCTTCTGTTTATTGGCGGTAGGAGGGGTGGCGGCCATTTGTACGTCATATCCTGAGAATCACGAGGACTGCTTCTGCCCTTCGGATTTAAAAGCATTCTGATGTAAACATCCGTATCGTCGACTACCTAATTCTTTTTTATCGACAAGACATTTATTCTTTCTATTCTTCTTTTTATTATAAACCTGCATTCGCGCTTCTTTCATTCTCGGAAGATCAAATCAACTCGCAAAAGTTATACGTATGTATGACACGTAACACATTCCATAACCTTGTTTGATATTACGAAAATTTGCAATTTTTCTGAAAATATCCACTAGCTCGATAAAATATATAAGCGTATATGAATTTTTCACTTTTTTATCCTAGATTTCACAATGATTTCATGTTTTTGCATTTTATCACGCTTTTGTACAAGTCTTTTTTTTTTAAGTATTTTCTATACAAGATCTCGTCCGTTGCTTTTAATTGTCTTCACCTTTACTTTTCTCCTCCGTGCTTCATCTTTTCACGAACCGGAGCAACCACCAAATCCGCTTACTCTCTTTGCCATTCGCGGAACGAGCAAACCGGGCTTTACTCAGAAGACGAAGTCCGGCGTCGCCGGACGATATAAAGAGCGTATCGTCATAGTCGTCAGGCCGGAAACTTTGGTATTTTGCTTTATATCTTGGAGGAGAAAAAGGCTTCTACATCGTTTCGGTTCAAGAAAAGACGGAGAGTAATCAAGCTCTGTCCCCGAAGGACGCATCGCTGTGGGGAGCTCAACGGAAAAATGACCCTCAGCATCCTGAAGCGTCAAACTTTAAAGGGGCGCAGTTTAGGACTCTGTTCGCGTAATAATTCCCTCGTTCCGTTATCGCCGCTTTAAATCCAGAATCTCTTCCACTCATTGGTATTTGTCACTAAAGCATACTTGCGCGATAAAAATAATGTGAAGAGATGTTCTCTAGCCTCAAAAGCACATCTGTGCACTTGTCACTCGTTGCACTTCAATTAGTCTCAATTAGTTCGTGCGATACTAATTTAATACTATACGAGATATTAATTTTTCGTGGACCAAGTTATTTTTATCATTGAAAGAAGTATCGAACGAAAAGAACGCTCATTCGTAAATATGAACGATGACGGAATATTGATACTCCCGGAAATATCGATAATTGGTTGGAAAACGCCGTCGTGCCTGTGATCGCTGTTTGCAAAGCATTTCAGGTTTTTTTTTTTCCATGTATTTTGGCGAAAAATAGGATCTCGCATTTTTATATTGGAAAATATTGATTTTTCGTTAGGGTAACGTCATAGCAACATAATAACTACGCTCTGAGAATATCTATGATTCGCTGGAAAAATATTTATCTTTCTTATTCGCGAGTCTGACAAGTTGCAGATCCATGCTCGCGATATTAAAAAGATATTAAATGTCTCAGACGGGATTGTAAAATCGTGCCGCACACATTCTGAAGCAGAGATTGTATTTCAGATAACGGTGAATTTTACAACGCAATGCGATATATGGGTCAGCGAGAAGGGAGGGTGTAAAAGTTCGTAGTGATAAGGTGGATGGATTTGTGTGACGATTATCTCGCGTGACAATGCGTCCGCAATTTCCGTCTATGCGGCAGGAAGTTTTAGGAACTCTATTTAAATACCTCGCGACGATCGAATAAGTAAATGTAACATCTAACAGAGGTATCGACGTGCAATTTACAATGTATAAATCTTCACGATGTATGTAATATAATACAACAACAAATGGGATGAAACTAAATTTAATGTAAATATAATTTTAGGCATTAATTGTTTCTCAATAAATTATAAAGAAATGTGTACGTGTGTGGAAATAAAGGAGTATGAATTCTCAATTGAAAATCTATTACTTCTTTTAATTCTATCTGCAACCATAATACTTATGAATCCTTCATTTTTACAGCCAAATTGATTCTAAAAGTGTAGTAATAAAATACTCTGATAATAAGAAGGAAAAAAAGGAAGACAAACAATAAAGTAAAGTGGAAATAATGAACATATTTTGTGATGCCTATTAACAGGCATATGTAATCGATATTGGACGATCACAAAGTGACAGTTCAAAACTAGAAACGGCGGAAGAATCAATGCGGATAGTAATCGAGACGAAGAGGTGGCGGAGAAGGAAAGAGACGGAGCGAGAGGCAATTCCTGCTGGACGGCTGCCACAAGGCGCTCCGAAAGTAACGATCTCGTTATCGTTCCGCCTCGAGAAGTGAAGGACTTAAGATAATAAGTTTGTATGGGAGGGTGGAGAGTCCTTAATAAGAAACCGGAGCGCTTTCGCGCGCGAGAGGGAAATAGCGCTCGCTTACCTTGCCTCTCTCCACCGTCATCCGCGTCAGACCACTCAACTTATTAATTCCATTAATATTTCTTTCATGCGATTTGACGCACCGACGCGGCGAGATTATTAAAAGCGCGCGAAGAAGCCGTAATACTCTTGGAAACTTTGTCTCTATTACCACGCGGTACTTGTTTAAAAAAATTAACCGATTCTTCCGAGTACATCGTTCGGAATGCCACGCGCAGTCAAGTAAGATTTATTCTTTTCCATTTCGCGATTTCATCGTTCTCAGCATTATCCTCGAGTGGGAATACTGGATAAATGTTCTTTTATTGGAAATTTAATTTCAATCATCTAACTTGTTTAATTTTACTCATTAAATATTCTTTACGATATTATTTTCTTCTGATTTTCATTTGGCCATTTTTTTAATTGCCAAATAATAAGTTAATTTACACAACACAATAATATATGTTGTTGTCGATAGATAAAAAAGATATGTATTTTCAGTAAAATGAAAATAATATAAAATGTGAGATAAATTAATTAGGTCTATTCTTATAAAGAATAATATGATAATTACTTTCGAAAATCCAACGACTCCGATTCATAAATAAACTACGTAAATTATTAAATTTAACAGATTCGAATAATATAAAGTAAAAATTAAATTCAATAAAGTGAAATATTTTTCAGGTTTGACGTAAATGAAAATCAATATGAACCAAAATTTGATCGGCTCACTTTCAATAATTGCATCGAATGAGTTATTTAAAGTAACGGAAATATATAACAGCTATAATATATTTGCAAAAACAATTATTTGTATCGAATATAAAAAAGTAGGATCTTTCTCTATTTTTAGTATTATTGATTATTCGGAGTAAATAAGTCCAAATAAAACTATAAATGACACATTCATTCCCACAGAAAAGATTTTAAAACATGAAAATAAACAACGCTAATTTTTAAATAATAAAGCTTCATGTGTGTCTCATTAACCTCGTACGTTTCAAAAAGTCAATAGCTGACCGCATTAAACTTCATTTCGTAACTGACAACTGATGATGAATCTGAACGGAAACTGGTTCGTCAATGTCGTCGCTTGCAAAAGTGAACCGTGCAAATTTGCTTCAAGTATCGTAGGTGCATTTGCGAGGGATATAAGATAGACGTCATCTGCCTATACAGATAAAACAAAGCTGAGAAAGATTTTGAAAATAACAATAGACCTAAACAGCCGAATTGTACGAGACGAAGTTGTCTGCTGTCATCTCAGTGAAACATTTCGGTCACTGCACATTGTTGCGAGGAGTGCATGAGCGAGAAGAACCGGGATAGAGATAGATAAATAGATAGAGAGAGAGGGAGGGAGGGGGAGAGAGAGAGAGAGAGAGAGAGAAGGGGTTAAAGGAAGAGGAAGGAGAGGTAGCAAGGGGGTAACGGAGAAAGAAAGAGAGAGAAAGAAGGAAGGGGGGAGAGAGAGAGAGAGAGAGGGAGAGAGGGAGAAAATATCCGACACCCCGGTTGGTTGGTCCGCCTCTGTC